GCAGCTCTCTGGCCCAACCATCCTTCTACACAACGGGAACTAGGGGCTCTTTCTCAGGAGATAAAGCGACAGAGGCGTGAAGCTGACACTCACCTCTACCTAGTGACAAAGTTAAGAATGGTGGAGCTATGCCTCTACTCGCACATAAGTTTTTATGGCGTGGTGCTTAATTAGTTAAACTTAGGAATAATTTAGCCATGTTTATCATTTGCCTCTACACCGATTTTCAGCTTACCATAATTTATCGAGAGTAACATTACTGTGGAGCTGAGATAGCTCAGTCGGTATAGAGACGGTACGGACTCGACTGCCGGGTTCGATTCCTGGCACAGGGGCAACTTTGATTTTCTTACAGCAGCGCCACTATCTCTGTCTCAACGTATCAATGTAAATCTCGACCTCTTCCCTGGTTTCAGAGTGAAACTTGAGATATTCCTTGGTATTGGAGTGAGATCTGACATATCTCCAGGTATCATAAGTAGAACTACATGCACCCTTTGTTCTTAGAATGAAACTTGACGTGCCTTTTCTTCTTAGTGCAAAGCTTGACATGTCTCTTGGCTCTGAGTGAAACTTCACATTTGTATTTTCAATGACGAATTAATGTTTATTTCAAACTGCATGTTGTCGTGCATTATAATCATGTCAAGATACGGAGACTTCTTCGCTTAAAACAAATTTTATTTATTCCATGTACAGAGAAAGTTACACAAAAGAAAGTTGTCGAGAAGTTTCTTTACTATATTTCGATCTCTGTTTTACAATGAATGATATGTATATATATGTATATACTGTGTACGTACCTCAAGTAGTCACATGTAACCGCTCTGGTCTTATATTCGCATAATCCCAGTTCGAAACGGCTCGTGTAGGAATGATATTGTTCTAGCTGGTGTAATGCCCTTGCAAATGCAATGGAAAGCCTTCTCATTTATTACATAGATTATAATATAATTGTTTGATGATTTAATAACGTTTAATTAAAACATACAATTTTAAATGCCAACGCAAAGTAATACCTAATTTTTTTAATTCGCATACTGAGGTGTGGAGTCCAGCTGGGTCCACTCGGCACGGCGGCCACTGATTGGCCTATTGTAGCCAGCTCCGGTGATTATGATGATGGAGAATTTGGTGGAATGAAAATTCGCAATGGAAACCGAAGTACTCGGAGAAAACCCTCCCCAGCGCCATTTTGTTCACCACAAATCAAACTTGACCAGACCCGAGATCGAACCCGGGCCGCCGCGGTGGAAATCGAGCGACTAAGTAACACATATATGAGACTATAATGATCCATGAGTATATAAAATTGTCGTGAGATTTTAGTGCTTGCGCAGATGAACATCTTGGAAAATATATATAACTGGTACAGATAAGAAAGCTTTATCTCTTGCCGGGAATCGAAATACAGTCGTCGAGTCCTTAACCTTTCTGTATAGTGAATAAGTTCTTTCGACTCATAATCTTGAATGTCTAATAGATTTTCTCTGAACATTTATACATAAGTAACATTTAAAAAACACCATAATTTTATATTATCTGAAAAGAAAGTACTGAAACGAAGTATGTGGGATATTTTACACGAGAACTCTGTAGGCTAAAGAAGAAACCATGTTGGAAAAACATAAAGATGAGGGTGTAATGATCCTTGATTCAGTGGCCAACCAAGGAATGTTGTTCCATATACTGTGTTTTGATTCGTTACTTTCGGAAACGTTGCGGATTTGCTGTGCAGTTGCATCGCATGCCGGTACCTGATCTGCGTGCGCAACTCACATATGCCCTTGATCTACGTCTGTCCATTCATACGTTCACTTAGCTGTATCACTTTCACTGCAACATGTCGCAAGGCGCTACACTGGCGTGTTTGTTTCTTGTTCAACGTTTCGTAAGAGTACACTAATTCATTTTCTCATTTGGACGCTGACCTGTGTTACTGCATTGCGTTATCAGTCATCGAACTAAGTACTGTTTCTCTTTAAGATTCGTCACTTTGCAAATTTCGCAGAGGTTCTGTTATGAAACATTATCCCACTCACAGCTTCTCTACATTCTGTTTCGGGGCAGTATTGACAGCTACGAAGGAGTATGTAGCACGTGAGAGGAAATAAAAAGTGCGAACAAAATTTTAGTTGGAAATCCCAATAGGAAATTATCAGATGTAAAGTTTAGGCATAAAAAAGGTAAAGCTATCCCTGTAACAGGCCGTGAAGGCCCATAGGGTTTTGAGATTTTGAGGTTCCCACATTATCCAGACAATCGGCTCAAAGATGGCGGTAAGGTTGTCAGCCTTACGCGTCGGCCGCGCTTTACTCCCCAGCGAAATTATTTAATTAATTCCTGGTACTCATTTATGTTGGAGGCTGAGTCGACCCCAGGCCCATAGTGCGGCCGGAAGGATTAGGTCAATTGAAAAAAATCCAGTGACTTCATCGGGACTTGGATCCGCGACCTTCCGGCTTGGAGCATTGTGCCTCAACCAGCTACCAACTACCGCGTGCCCCCGAAGTTTAGGCATATGAATGTTAAATAAATAGAAATGATTATGACTTAGAACAGAACCCTGAACTTGGTTCTTGTGATTACGACAATGAACCTTTCAATTCCACGAAAGTTGTGGTATATTTTTGGTTAAGTAAGCGAATATTAGTGTTTAAAAAGGATTCTGGAATTTGTTAGTTCCTGAATAAACAATTCAGGTGGAATCTATGGATCTCGCAGACTTCATTTCCATATGTATCCCGTCAGTACAGAACACTGACAACACTTAGCTGTGTTACATGGAAGTAAGTCATAAAGTAAAGTAAGCTGTAACTTTTATGAAATTAAGAAAAGAAATCGCAAAAATGGGCCATTGTCCTGAGTTCACTGTGTGACATATGAAACAAGCAAAATAGTGCAGTAACTGAAAGAGGCGCCCAGTAAGTTGGTTCAAGCGGTAACCCTGTGTAACCGCTCTTCTGTATGGCCCCTACGTTGTGCTCCACACGTGACTGTTCTTCTCGCCCTTACGTTGTGCTCCTCTTGTAACTGTTCTTCTTCTCGCCCCTACGTTGTGCTCNCTTTTATGAAATTAAGAAAAGAAATCGCAAAAATGGGCCATTGTCCTGAGTTCACTGTGTGACATATGAAACAAGCAAAATAGTGCAGTAACTGAAAGAGGCGCCCAGTAAGTTGGTTCAAGCGGTAACCCTGTGTAACCGCTCTTCTGTATGGCCCCTACGTTGTGCTCCACACGTGACTGTTCTTCTCGCCCTTACGTTGTGCTCCTCTTGTAACTGTTCTTCTTCTCGCCCCTACGTTGTGCTCCACTTGTAACTGTTCTTCTCGCCCCTACGTTGTGCTCTACTTGTAACTGTTCTTCTCGCCCTTACGTTGTGCTTCACTTGTAACTGTTCTTCTCGCCCCTACGTTGTGCTCTACTTGTAACTGTTCTTCTCGCCCTTACGTTGTGCTTCACTTGTAACTGTTCTTCTCGCCCTTACGTTGTGCTTCACTTGTAACTTTTCTTCTTCTCGCCCTTACTTTGTGCTCCACTTGTAACTGTTCTTCTCGCCCTTACGTTGTGTTCCACACGTGACTGCCTTTTGCCCGACTTTACGTCACTTATTAGTTCTTTTAACCGCATCCCTTCCTTCCCTGTGCTTCCGCTCGTCTGCACCTCGTGTCTGGGCACCTCCACTGAAGTTACTGCCCTCCTCTCTCTTCTCGTGGATGGCGAGAAGTTAGGTGGGAGGGGAGGAGGATTGTGGTTATTGGTGCTGGTAGGCGAGAGTTCGTTTCCTGTACGACCATTAGGTGTCTCGCAGGTATGGAAAGACGGGAGTAGCTGGGTTCTGCTCTGTAATGGGTGGAGATGAGTTCTTATCCAGGGTCATATACGGGCCTAGCTCGGGCAGGGCAGGAAGATCCTTACGCTACAGTCAAGTATATCACTTCAAGAATTTTGCACTTCAGTAATTATTTAATTAACTTCAGCTCACTGAACACAACGGAAACCCTAATAGTTACACTTATTTGGATTGAACTTGTAATATTTTTAGCGAAGTGACGTAGCTGTGTTTTTGTGTCTGACTTGGCCGAAAGTTGAATGAGACTCCCTTGAGGTAGAACCATCTCTCTCCGAAACCTGAGGTCCACGAAAAACAGACTCCAGGAGAAATCCACTTCTCCAACACGTGCCATTGATTATTTTGAAAACTAGGAGGTTCCCTAAATTAGTCAATTTCCAATCATGTTGCTTTGCTATGTGATTCTGGCAGTTGCTGACCTGACGCTAAGGTTGACATCGACTTAATGTATTAAGATCAGGGGTCGAGGCTCCGGCCCTCCCACTTCTAAGTTATAGCTGTTCCAAGCTGTCAGCTCTCAAATTCTCAAAAACTTTCCCACTTTGCTGAATTCCAGGAAATGTACCAGATGTTACTTCCTGTCCACATTACAAAACTTGAACTATGTCACTTCTGACTGTAAAAAGTTGGTTATCTGCCGGATCTCTGTATGTATTTCACGCGCTCTTAACTTAATATAAATTTAATTAATGCAAAAGGGTTCGGCAAATTATGATGAACGGTTACACCTGCTGACATATTCGGGAGGAACCCAGTTCGAATCTAATCCGGGACACAGCCTACCCTGAAAACTTTTACGTGATTATCCTCAATCCTTCGGCCCGGGGAAAGAGCCCCCAGTATTTATTGGATAGGAGGCTAGGCGGGCCCCAGAGCCAGTCTGTAGAGTGTGACAATATCTCTGGCCACTACTAGAAATCGAAACCCGGTCATCCACACTGTATCCCGTAGCTATACCGACTGAGCTACCCCGGCTCCTCTTAACAAGAGAAAGCGTCGTTAAAATAAACCACGAATAAATATTACATTGCTGAATTGTCTATTGTGGGAAATACCAACCTGTGGTTCAGTGAGTCAAACAGAGTTTCCGAGGAACATATTATCTCCATCTTTAGAGCCGAATAGTTAGCCAAGTAACAAACGAGCATGCAGCAGGCAGCAAGCAAGCCATGCTTCATGGCAGTTTCTTGTTTGGCCTTCTCTTCGGCCCTGGAGATGGTGGAAACATATTTCTTCGAAACTTCGGTTGGTTCCACTTGACTACACGACATGTTATTCGTCACCACCGTGAGAACCTCAAGTGCAACAAATTACACAGGTGTGGTGTGTCCACAGCTCTGCATATCAGCGCTGGTGCTGCTGGCCGTTGTTGGCGCGGAAGAAGGAAAGGCGAAGAGGCAGGAGAAGAGAGGTCTGTTGGGGCTGGGGTACGGCACCCTGGGAGGCTACGGAGTAGGAAGTGGACTCTCAGGTTACAGCGGCAGTGGGTTGGCTAATTTGGCTTTACCTCCGGGCCCCGTTCCCCTGGCTGCACCCGCTTCTGGTCCTCTTCTGCCCCCTCCACCTCCATACGCACTCCCCCCACCTGTGTACGCACACCCTCAACCTGTATACCCATCCTCTCACGTGATCGGTGCATCGGTCTACACCACCGTCACCAAACAGGTCAGTACACAAATCATTCCTTACCCTCTTTTGGTTCTTATTGGATCTAGAACATTTTTTGGGTGTCGATCTCTCTGCAGGATTTAGGATTGCACTGCAATAGTTCATAGTCTCTCAGTATAAGTAATTCCCTCTACAAATATGGACCTCGAAGGTTATGTCCCGTGTTCACACTCACGATATTGGACCTGCCCTAAATCAATTGAAGTGTGTAGACTACAAAGCTTCATAAATTTCTTTTCTAGATCCATTTTAATATCATTCTCCCATACGTGACTAAGTTTCTCACATAGACATAGCCTCCTCCATTGAGAACTTTCAACAAAATTCTGAATATATTTACTATTTTACCCATGCGTGCTACGTGTCCAGCCTATTTGCTCCAACCGATTTGGAACTGATAAAATCTATACTCATATGTTGTGGAATCCTACTGTTTAAATCACTATAGAAAATCCTCAGAACTACTGGGATTTGGTGCCCTTTCCATCGTCCGGTATTCTATAAATCAGAAAACACAGCGTTTCGGAAACTGGATCTGTTTCCGTCCTCAGGTGACATGGGTGGGAGACATCTTCTCGGTTGGGTCCCTTAGAAAGAGCTAACCTCAATCACTGGGCAATCCCTGTCGGATTCAAACAGCTATTTAATCGTAATCACCTGAGACCAGACTAATTCGGCGGGAGATAACAAGAAAATATGCAAACAATGCAATATAACACGCACATGCATGAAACTAGGACAGAAATAGAGGTGGAAATTTGTGCTACAAGCCTAGCCAGCAAGACCAAGTCTACTATGCATTCACTTGAGGACGGAAACAGATCTATTTTCCGAAACGTTGTGTTTTCTAGTTTCTAGAATACCGGATGATGGTAAAGTTCAAAAACGCAGTAATGCTGAGTGTCATACACCATCGTCAGAAACCTTTAGAATCTACTACAGATTATATCAATAACATCCCTGTCTACACAACACTCTTTGCAACATGTTGAGTTTGGTGTGTGGGAAGGAATGTTTCGATCCCATCTTCAGTTCCGGTTTTTGGTTATAACTATTCTATCATATATAATTGTCGTAAATTTTCCATGCAAACCGAGTGGATCCACCTTGTGTTATGCACAATGTACACTATATACTACGAGTATATTATGGACTATAATGGGTTGGTTTTAAAATAAAGACACGCGTTTACTATATTGTATGATGACTGCGACATGAGTGTTAAGTACTGACGTTAATCATTTCCATGTGACTTGCTTCTCATGCTCAACATGCTCATGTTGCAGGTCGCGGTCCCTGTGCCTCATCCAGTGCCGGTGCCTGTAGAGAAACACGTCCCTTTTCCGGTGCCTGCACCATACGCTGTCCCTGTGCCCCGTCCCTATCCTGTCGCTGTGCCCAAGCCATATGCTGTTCCTGTTGACAGACCCTACCCTGTCGCAGTCCCTGTCGCCAAGCCGTACCCTGTCGCTGTCCCCCATCCTGTTGCTGTCCCTCATCCTGTTGCTGTCCCTGTAGCTAAACCCTACGCAGTCCCTGTGGCACTGCCTGTACCGAAACCTTACGCAGTCCCTGTGCCTCAACCTGTAGCTTTCCCTGTAGCTAAACCTTATCCAGTCCCTGTGCCCCAACCTGTGCCAGGCATTACGGTAGCCAAGCCGGTACTTGACCCTGTGCCCTATGGCCACGGTTACCATCACTGAGTTCTGAGGAAGCTTCATGCAGCAGGTAATGGAAAAGTGAACTCATATCTGTCCCTCCGCGGTCACCATTCTTCATCTCTCGTAACCATTAACGGATTCAGCAGATAACACTTCGTGTCTTATACACCTTTGTGACGCACGAATTATATTCTGGACCGTATCAGTTGGAAAAGAATCGTAATTTATCCTGTGATTTTATCGGAGTTTATAGGCACTTCTGTCAAAATAAGACAAAAAATTATTATACCTGAAATATACCTGAAAACACGGGATTATACTAATTATAAGTTAGTGCCTTCTGCGTGGGGGGAAAGTAAATTTAAGCTGTAGCTAATTATTATATTCGTATCAATGTTAAAGCATTTACAGCAGTTGGGAATTGCTGTCTAGGACATGTTTCAGCACATTTGTGCAATTTTTAGTTACAATTATTCCATCGAGTACTTAGCGTAAATTTTCCACATAAGCCGAGTGGATGCACCAGTGTGTTATACACCATGTATATTGTAGAGTATATTGTATATGCTATACGAGTAGGGTGATTGTGTCTCCTGGCAAATCGTCTTAGAATAAGGTCGCAGTATATTACAAGGATAAATATTTAATGAAAATAATGTTTTGGAAAACTCCGAATTTTAGGAAGAACTTCCAAATCTAAAAATTAGTACTGTCTCTGGTTACGGTCTGGACGTCCGCGGTTCAATTACCGAACGAGGCAAGAATATTATCTTTTACTGCTGAGTCCAAGAGGGCTCTGAGACCCTCCCAGACTCTTATTTCATGGATGCATAGGTTATTTCCTCTAGGTAAAACTGCCGGGGAGTGAATGTGACCATCCATTCCTGTCAAATGATGAGGTTAAGAATTGGTGGGGTTATATCTCGACATTCCCATGAATAATTTCAATCACATGTTGTCTTTGCAGGACTCTGAAGTCAAACGGCAGTGAACTGCAAGTCAGTATTCCCGTCCGAGAATAGTGGAAGTTGCAGTCGCTTGCAGAAACTCTCCCGTGAATCATCGAAACCACATCATCAACACACACTCATAATTATCTACGAAATGTATAACATAATAAATGCCTTATATTTTTAAAACTTGTTTCAAATAAATTTATTTCGGACTGACATGTACCCTTAATCATTAATAACAAAATCGGATTTGTTAATAGATTTGAAGATATTTCCACTGAAGCATCAAGATAATGCAATTCATGCATCCGTGACATTCCCACATACTGGACAACCTTCTTAAGCCGGGTATCGATTGCGCGCGGCTGCCGCGCGAGACAGTGTTCGTTGCTTTGCCTCGCAAAGTCGATACCATGTTACCGCGCGCGGCAGAACGAACACTGCCGAGCGCGAACTTGGTGCGTGTCGAGCCAAATCGGAGCGGTTCTTTGACCCGCGGCAAAGGGATTTCAGTTGAGACGATCTTGTGGAGTTCCGGTGCTACTTTCGGGACAAAATGGAAAATGAAAAGTGTCTAGCTCTCATACAGCTTTATAAATCTAAAGAGGTGTTGTGGAATTCAAAAAGTGCTAATTACATAATAGAAGTATAAGCGAGGTCGCACGGAAGGACGTACGTAACGAAATGAAAATGCCAGGCGCTATTCTTGATATACTTTATTTGGACATTCGGGAGAGTTATTGCAAGCCTGTATAGGAGTCTCCAGTGGCTGAGAATCTCAAAGTAATAAGCATCCTCTCCCTCACAGTAATCGCTTCTCGAATTCGGGGGTCCAGTTCTTTTCGCTCTTGGCTTGACCAACGAGGTTATGTGTTTGAAATCCGATAATGATATTCGCCTACAGTTTTTAACTGTATCTTCCACTAATTCAAATGTCATACCTCGCATAAGTGTATTTCCATATTGCATTCGCTGACGGTACAATTCCTTCATCCACCAATGCACTTTTCGTTTTGGTTTCTTTTGTTTCTTCGATAATGTTGAACATGAACATGAAGGCAGCCGCTGTATGTGTAGCATTCGTGGTGATCTCGCAAGAGCTCAGGAAGAGCATCGATCAACGGCCGCACGCGGCTGCCGCGCTTCGATGCTGAATACGAACACGGTAAACAAACGAATGAAATTTCCGCTCACGCAGAGCTGCGCGCGGAAGCCGCGCGCAATCGATAACCAGCCTCACAGGACCAGTTACACTGTAGTATAGAAACTATGATGAATGTACTTCTTATTAATTTTTCCTTAAGATTTGGGCCAATTAATAACTGAAATTGCCCAAAAAACATCTTCACAGGGTCTTTACTTTTTGTCATCTTGCAGTTTATGATTTCACGAGACGGAACTGAGATGATTTATCTCAAGTAGTGGCTTAGAAATTATCTGCTGTTTCATTAAGCAGGCTACCCTATGTTCTAGACTGCCTAATTCTGTTACTATTTTTATTGTGGTTTTCAATTTATATCATAAATATGGAAGGAAAAATACACATAAAGTCACGTGTTTATTCTTAAACTGAGGATTTGAATTTCATAAAGAACAGTATTTATTAAAATTATATCAAAGCTACAGGTAAAGAAATTTTATTAAATTATTTTCTTAACAGAGGTACGCTGCCATATTACTATGGAGGACTCCAAATTTGAAGAAAATTTACTCACAGAAATAGCAGATTTTAAAGTCTCTATTACTATGAACACTCTCCTATTTATTTCTGCTGAAGTCCTGATACATTTCTGGTTTCTGTCTTTATCCTATACTGAATTCCACATTAAAAGAATCACAAAAACATATGGAATTTTGGTTGGAATATATCCACAAGCACAAATGTGGCTTGAAAGAATTACTTCTACATCAAAAACTTGCCTTTCTCTCTGTCAAAACTCTATATATTAAGAAAATTTTAGTCCCTTTATTCTCGAGCAATTTAAACTATAAAATATTACAGAAAATGGCCATGCTGTATTACGTTTATACAGTGAATTGCATTTTATATACTGAGCGCAGATCACGCTTTGTCTTGCACATTTGGCGTCAATGTACAGTGCTTGCAAAATTTGCAGAAATTTGTGAAGAAATTTTTGCAATCAAGTAATACAACCAGAAGAGTTCAGCAAGCAGCAAGTAACATACCAGTACGCCTCATCTCCCTCCGTAACGTTAATCCAGTTTTTTTCCAATCTCGTATTCTTACGCTTGCTTAAAACAATTAATTTGCTTTTTATATCTTCCATTCTCTGTCAATCTAATAAGTACAACATATCGTTGAAGTATCAGTCGACAAGAGTAATTAGCTTTTTATCACTTCAATTGCCTATATTTTATAGTTATACAGATTGGCACTGTTCTGTATAATCGTACTTGATCAACTGATTAGATTATGAATATTTTATGATACTAAACACATTCCTATATTTGGAAAACTTCAGTTACAATGGGACAATATACACATAACGTGGTATTACTTACTTACTCACTCATGGAGCTGAGCCCTTCTGGAGGAGCCGCCAATTCTGCAGCTACTCAAGAATTTCCCAGCATTTTATGGAACTCGAAGGTTCATTACCGTGTTCACAAGAGCCCTTCACTGTACCTCCTAAGCCAGATCTATCCAATCCATACCATCCCATCTTATCTCTCTAACATCCATTGTAATATTGTCCACCCACCTACACCTTGGTCTTCGTTGTGGTCTCTTTCTTTCTGGCTATATGCATTCCTCGTCTCTTCCATTCGTGCTACATGACCTGCCCACCTCATCCTCCTTGACTTGATAATTCTAATTATACTTGGAGAAGAGTACAAGTTATGAAGCTCCTCATTATGCAGTTTTCTCCTACCTCCTGTCACTTCATCTCTCTTCAGTCCAAATATTCTCCTCAACACTCTGTTCTCAAACACCCTCAGTCTATGTTCCTCCCTTAATATCAGAAATCAAGTTTCACACCCATACACAACCACAGGCAATAACGTGGTTATTGTTATCGTCATAAATATGACTTCTTAGGAAACCGAAACTACGAAGAAAAGTGTCTTTACTTCGAGCCCAAGTCACAGATCTAGGTTACTATAAACGTAATAGGCTTGCTGTACACTGCTAGAGTTCTGTTACATGGGCAACATTACAGCTCCAAGAAAGAAGTGGTAATGTTCAGAGTGGAGCATACACGAGAGCCTCGTAGTACGGCAAGTGTTGTTATAACCCGGCACCCTATGGTAAACCAACTGCCTAAGTCTTGCGACCGTTCTTTGTGGTATATTCTATTTTAGTTACAGGCAATTTTTTGTCATCCTGATAAGACACTCTAGTAGCTAGTCTAGCTTACAGCGCAAGCGCAGTTGGAAAGTGTAGATGCTAGTATAAAACATATCTAGCCCCTTTATTGCCTTTCTAACCCGCAGCATTAAACAGTCCCTACGTTAGTCCTAGCGAAAGAGTTAGATCAGGTATGTCAAGCCTTAAACGTGTTGAGACAACTAATTTAGTTCAGATAAATGTATATCTTGCTGACTTATTTATTTCGCATACCAGCGTCTTTCCTGAGAATACAATGACTTTGTAGCTCGTCAAGAAATTCCGCACCTTTCATGTAACCTTGTATCAATATTTCCAGAAGCCTATATTAAAACATTCTGACAGGCAGAGCCATCTTTAATTCATATTGTGAGAAACAACAACAGACGTTTTCAACCAAAATGACCTTTGATTCAGTATGTGTCAGACCTTCGTAAGCAATACACCGCTAACGTAGAATATGTCAAATTTACAATCTCAGGAATCAAATTGGTATCAAGTGGTCCCACAGTTAATATTTGGCGATAAGAGAAAAATAAATTAAAAAAAAATGTAAAAGTGAAGTCGTCATTGTGCTTAATTATTCAAGCACCAGGCCATGAAGATGGAGGTATAGCTCCACCACCTTAACCTCGGCACTAGATGGAACTCGGTGGTCAGCTTCACATCCCGGCTTCTTTACCCTGAAGGGGGAAAGTCCCATGTGACCATTAGATAAGAGGCTGCGTAGGCCTCACGGA